TGACTTCTGAAGTGTGAACTGTGTGTGGAGTGACACTGACTTCTGAAGTGTGAACTGTGTGTGGGGTGACACTGACTTCTGAAGTGTGTACTGTGTGGAGTGACACTGACTTATGAAGTGTGTACTGTGTGTGGAGTGTCACTGACTTATGAAGTGTGAACGGTGTGTGGAGTGTCACTGACTTATGAAGTGTGAACTGTGTGTACTGTGTGTGGAGTGACACTGTGGGATAGGCCAAAGATCCAGGCCGGATTTGGGAGGACTGGAGGGGTCCAGCCTCCCCAAGGGTGGGCAGAGCCATGACAGCTGCACATGTGGTTCCACATGTGTGTGATATGAATGTTCAGTTCTCAGAGGAATGCTCATCATCTCCATTTTTCCCCAAACAGAATGACAGACACTCAGAGGTATTAATTTGTTATATGAAGTAAGAGAACAGAGGTGATGTGGGAGTTAAAAGCATGAGGAGCCTTGGTCAAAATGTCACAGCCGACCTGTCAGAACCCTGGAAATCTACCATAGAGGATTTAAAAAGCTGAATTTCCACAGCCACTCTGTGACACTTTCCTTGTCCTTGTCCTGCCCCTTCTCCCCAGCTCGGGCCCAGAGGGCTCACAGTGCTGCAATCCTGGGGAAATCCAGCGGGCAAATGAGGTTGGGACCCCCAGAGGATGCTTCTCAGAGAACTGTCATTTGAAGAGTCGTGACGCCCCCCAGAGAACTGTGCTCTAAACCCTTGTCTTTATCTGAGTTGACTCAAAGCAGCCTGTTCCCGGGAATGTTGTCAAAAACAATCCTCAGCACAGCTGGCTGAGGCAGCAACTGCAGTCAGAAGCCGACCAGAAACCCGAGGCAGAGAAGCTGGGAAAGGAAACATTGTAGGAGGCCTTAGGACACTAACGTGTTTCTGGAAATCTATGGGATGCAAGTGACAGGCCTGCGTACATGCCCAGGTGTGGGGCATTTACCCACCACCCCCACAGCTTCCCAGAGTTTTCTTGAGTGCGAGCAGCAGGAAATATTAGATAGAAGGATTTATAGCGGAGAA